GATCGGAATGTTTGTCCAGCCAAACAGTTACCTGTGGTCTGTAACAAAGGAGTGTGACTGGGGTCATCACCGCGCGTGATCTTAAATTCTTTGCCACTGACCAACCAAAAGGCACGTGAGATCATGTCTGTGTTTATAAATGGATTAGTTGTTGTTCCCATGGCAACTTGTCGATCATACCACCAGCTACCATCGTCACGCATCCAGTTCTTGTTGTCATTATTGGAGAATCGAGCGATGAGAGTCCAACCTTTTCCATCTGATGCCATGTCACAATAGACCTATGAAAAAAAATGTATACTTTGTTTTGCTTAAAGTGAGGTCTTCCTCTTTCTACGAATATAATCGATATGCGTATAATGTGTTCATTATCATTACAACAAGGCGGCAAAGAACGTCCCGAAATATATCATACAGTGGAAACAAAGGGACGAGAAAACAGTTATAATTATTTTATATTCTCCCCAAGATTAAAACAGCGATGAAATGACGTAGAAATGATTTAATAATCGCTAAATCCCAATAGAAACTGCATTGCTCAATTGCATTTTACTACATTGTATTTTTATTGTTAAATTTGTTTAATCTATTTTTAGGATTTCCCAACCTGTAGCAAAATCAAGAAACTACTGAAACACTCAACAATAACTAAGAGATTACTAACAGAGGCTCTCGATAACTGTACCCAGTGTCAGAATTTGGGACGAATTCGTTACACAAAAATTATCATCATAAGCATGCAGAGGTTTAACCTCACCGCAAATGCATCATTCCGAGTTGGACTTAAATTATAGATGCCATCCGATTTCTTGCTTAAGTGTCCTTTCTGGATCTGGTCGCATGACGTACCTAGGTAAGTAGCAAAAAAAACTGAGTCAGCCAATGTTGTAACATTGCACTGACTTGTATCAGTCTGATTTTGCTGAATTTAGGCCATGAAATATAGTTTATTAATCCCTTGTAAACAACTCAACCTCTCAGTCTTAAAGTAAACTGAACACTAGAAAATGTTTCATTTAAATAGGCATTATCATTTTTCTGCTGCTATTTCTTTGATGTATAAGAGCTATTTTGGAGGTTTCGAAATGTTTACTTACAATAAAAATCGCAGTCCACAAGGGTTTCTCCCAGAGTAAGCCATTTTTTTTAAAATTCTTTTTGGGACATCAGAATAAAATGACCGTCAACAAAAGGTAAAGAAAACATGGAATATACGAAACCTGTTAGAGGCACAATTACTGTAGTGAGTGTTTCCGCTAATCCAAAGCGGTTTGTGGCGCGACAGATGTAGTCTCCGTAGTTGCTATCCTTAGCCGAGGTGACTTCAAGGCATCCGTTTTCCTGAAAAACCGGCGGCAAATCGGAAGACTGTTGAGCACGTGACCACTCTATCCTTGGACGAGGAGAGCCATTAGCTCCACAACAAAGGCTTAAAGCAGACCCAGGCAATAAAACAACCTGCGAAGGAGGTTTCTTCATAAATATTGGGGGTTCTAAAAAGAGACATAACTCATTCATTAATTACAGCATTATCATATCCACCCATACAGATGTAACTAGCGTTTAGCAAAAGTAAAACTTGGAGTTTTCACTACAAGATAGAGGAAAACTTTAATATGGTCAACAACTGGCCTATTTATAGCTTTGTGTCAAATATGGAAGGGCGAAAGGTACCAACTGACAAGAACTTTACAGAACCTCGAATTAATTAAAAGATAAATAAAAAAAAAACATATCTAATTTAGGTAAAGCAAGGAACCTCTA